TTCATTTCCGTCACCACCTCAACAATTACACCATTTATTTTTATTATTTTGAACACATAAAAAATTTAACTACTTGTCATACACCAAATGGGGCGACCTTAATTTTCCAAACCATCTACAAGTAACACTATGCCTCAGTGCATAAAACGGGTCAATGAAACAATAACACATTATTTATTAGAAACGTTTTACAGAATAGGCCCCCTCAACATAAAACACAGTAGCCCAAATGATATATGATTTGTTATTGTGTGTTTGAATAACACAGGTGACAGGTTATAAGCTAACAAGTAGCTGTAACTACAAGTATCATGCAACTAAGGGTTTTTTTAATAATACTATACCCGTGAAAATTTACCGCTGCTATAAAGGAACTCTAAAGTGTATCATATAAGTCTTATTCTGTTTTGTAATCAGCTGCTATTTTGTAGACCTTCTACAGCTGCTGTTTATAAAATTATATATTATTTGTTACTTCACTGTATAATGATATTCCAAGATGCGTTATTGTCTTTGGCCTGTGCGACTATTTATACAAATGAAAACAAATTACGTAGAATTTTTCGGATGTGCCCATTATAAGTAAATTATAAAAAAAACAATTACAGACTGTATTCTACGGTCAAAAGCAAAATAACAGGTGGCAAATAAGGACTGCGTAAAATATGAATCATTAAGATAATTTTTATTCATTATCTAGTACGTTGGAAATTTCTCTCTTTCGGCTTAATTTTTTACCTAATTTAATTGAGATTATTCATTTAGTCATATTAAAATTGTTTTCAAAAGTAATATACATAGTGTTTACAAGAGGTAAACAAAAAATTGTGTTAGGGCAACTAACAACGAGTGGGTAGTATAACTAATTCTTAAAATTCAGCCTACAACTATAAGTTATTCCAGATTTATGAATTTTTACTAGCTGTACTATGTTTAAATCTACATATTTTTACAAATATTAAGATTACAGACACCATAAAATAAATATTTCATAAGACTATTATAAATATTTATTTTATGAATTGTCAAGTCATACCTCATTATAATTTTTAAAAAGGTCTCCGAAGTATTATTTTGAGACAAAATCGAATAATTATAGTACGTATCCGTCAAAATATTATTTATTTATTATCAATATCAAGTAAAATGTAAATGATTTTTTAAATGAATTCAATAAATTTGAGAAATTAATTTTTATTTAGTAAATAAAAAATTAACTAAGCTATCAATTAAATTTGTGTGCATAATATTACTCCTTATACCTAAATTACTCTAAACTTTTTAAGTTAATGTTTTTTTTTACAACTTGTATCATATCGAAGAAAAACTTTTTATAAAAAAAAAATATGTAACAATAATAAATCAAATTGAAAATTTATATTAATAAAAGTCGTGTGTTGACTATTATTCAATTTAGCTAACTAATTCAAGCGATTTCTTAAAATAATATTCAGCAAAAAGTACTATAAGGCAAAAATATCGAAGTGATTTATGACACATATCTTATACAGATTCGGAATTTTCGTATTTTCATTAGAAACACTTTGAAAAATCATTTAGATTACACCTTACTTTGAATCGTGAATGGCTTTATCTTTTGTTATAAAGGCAAAAATGACTTTCTTGTTAACTAAATTATAGGTCGGTTTGTGTAATAAATTATAAGTGATTTATTTGAGACCTGTCGATACTAATGAACAAAGTGTCCTAAAGCTAAACTCAATATGTCAATATACTTTCAAGAATTGATTTATTCGTTTTATTTAATAATTATAATAAGGAAATATCTGTATACATTTATCTCGTACATTAAACACTTAAAGATAAAATTTAAATGCAATCATAAACTACACGTAAATTATTTTTTACAAACTGTGTCTTATTAAATTTATTTTTGTGTCAAAATTTTAAATTATTAATTAATTCTGATTTTAATTTAAATTCTGAACAAACTATGTAATTTTAAAGAAACATCGAGCTTCCTTAACAAAGATCACTTATTATAAAATAACTCAAAATTTTTAATTATAACAAAGATATTCTAAACGATCAAGAGCACCAATACAATTCACTTAAATGAATTTTCAAAAAAGATCAGAAGAGAAATTATTTACCATTATTATGGCTGTAGCTGATAAATGACTTCTCTGAAACTTAATTAAGAATGTAAAGTGAATTCTTATTTAAGCCTGTTCTTTTGGGGTACAGAAATGATATAAATATTAAAAAATATATTAATTATTTATAATTTATAGTAGGTATTCACCATAATATTCAAAGATTAAAATCAATAATCATAAAAAAAATATTTTCTATGGTAAAAGTACAAATTATCTATAATTAATACTAAGTTGCTGTATTAATTAACTATAACTAGATCAAAGTAAATCGCATGAAAGAACATAGCATAGTTTTTTTATAAGTCATTATTTAAATAGACCAAGTTAAAATATCTATTATGATTAAAAGTGATTTGGATTCAAATATTTGTGACTTTTAAAAAAATGGAAATTTTTTATGTGCACGACCACACTAAGTATAAAATGTAGTAATAATAATGAAATACTACTAAATAAAACTCTACTAAATTACAGCGAAGATTTTTCAAATAGGTAAACAGTAAAAAATTAGACTTTGTTTCTATTTTCTTGTGTAATTATTTATTAATTGTAAACACTGACCGTGAAAGTCTCGAAATTTTTAGAGTAATAATATTTTATCAATTAATGTCAATAATTATTTTAAGTGTAACCGTTTCATGAGAGAATATTTCATTATTTAACATTCTTTTCACCATTAGCGATAATACTCATTACACTTAATTTTAAAAACGTTATCTTATCGAAAATTTACATTTACACATAAACTGCATAATATTATGGTGTTGATCTCCGAACATTTACATTTAGTAACTATTAGTTTTGTATACACTTATGAAGGCTTCAAGGAATAAAACAAAAGAAAGTATCGCTGCTGTCATCCTTTATTTCCTGTAGTAAAAAATATTTGCTATCACAGATATTCTTTAAATTGAATAATCGTACTAATTCAGTATAAAGCTAAGATAATTATTATAGTTATGAACATAAGAGAGTTCAACGTTTTTTTATGATATTTATTTTATAACTTTTTATAAAATTCTTTAATGGAAAAACGATAATCTTATTATTTTATTAAAAATAAAATACATTTAAAATATACATATTAATTGAAAAAGTAAACATTTTTTTCTTTTGGTTTTGTAATTTATGCCGATTTTCAGAGTCGCTTAATTTACAGTGTATCATATTTTGAACTATTAATTTAAATTTTAGAAGTTGTTTATTCATCACTTTTACATAGGAAATCTTTATAAATTGTATCAATTCTTGCCGATAGTTTTTACATTAACATATCTATAACTCATTATTTTTATTACCTCATAATTAACTAACATTTTACCAAATGTTAAATTGTTTGTTTGCTGAATCACGTATCAACAATGTAATCGATTTCAATTTTGAAGGCTAAAACAGTTTTGAGTTTTAATTCCAACGATATTAAAATATTTTCAAATTATATTATTATTCTGTATTATAAATATATTAGTAGTAATAATAAATAAACAATTAACAAGGGGAAAGTCGCAAGTGAGAACTACTAACCAGCACAACATCACACGATGATGGTAAACAACCTAGTTATGTTGCAGGTGTCCTAGGAAAACGTTTCAAGCAATCGATTTTTATTTATTAAAATTGAATTTAAGACGCCAAATGATCGATTTACACTAATGTACAAACACCCACCGAGTAGTTTTGCTAAAATAACAGATAAAATTTCACGTTTTTATTATTTTGTGTCAAAACAAATTTCATAGATAGACATTCTTATTATTATTCTATCACTATATCGCGAATAAAAAAAAACTTTTAATATCAGTACTCCAAGTGACCAAACACAGTTAATAACTATCGTCAAAGTTAAAATTTTGGTAATTTCAATTTCTTATTAAACAGAATCCAACTTTTTTCAACGCACGTCGTGGACACTTAAAATGATTGCCTCATACGATCAAATACAAATATCACAAATAAAAATTCAATACAATACACCGAGTTTGAGAATTAAAATTAAGATCGTTGTACAACCTATCTGGCCTCAGCCTTTCAGCATCCAAATATGAGATAAGAAACCCCCTGCCCACCCTACCCTACCAAGTGGCTTCTACGATGTCTATGCGTACAAATATACACATATATATATATATATATATTGAAATATTGTGTGTGCTGTTTATATATATGTATGTATATAATTGATTTAACGTCCGACAAGGACTCGAGTGCTAAAACAAATGAAATAGTTGACATTCGGATACATTGTTAATGAGAAGATATTCGAAAGCACACGACGTATCAAAGACAATTAGATGCGACACAGTGACTCAATATTAAATGGCATACTCTGTTAAACAGCGAACGAGGGTAAAAAAAACAGGGGTTATTGCTCTCTGAATGAAAGCATTTGGGGGAACGTGTGGGCCAGCATTGAATTGTGACGGTAATGCGCAACGATGTAAGCGGGAAAATATCGTAAGACAGGTTTTCTCCAGACAACAATCCCTTTTTATTACGACATAACACCGTCCAGTCGCTGCGACTATTCAATAATGTTTACATTTCATAGTTTTTTTAACGACACCGCCAAGATCAGTCCGGATGTGAACAGCGCGGTAGACCGCTTGCGGATACTACACGAAAGCTCGTCCCCACGTGCGGAGTGTATACGCCGGCGTGCGGTAACGGTCGTCGATTCAGTCAAAAATAAAATGCCGATCGACTATACTGGTGTTACGCGGTCTCCTACCGAACAGTACTACAACGATAATGCGCTAGTCCGTCTCTACGAGATTCTCCGGGCCGGTGTGGAATTCACTATCAGAATCGCTACCGGATTCCATAGTCATTATTGGCGCGTGTTGCTCTACACCAGTTCACATTACAATTGCAGTTACTAACCTGATGTACTCTTAGTAGTTATAGGCATCGTCCTTTGAGCCGCTGCTTCGATTTCAGCTAACCGCCACTTGTCGCCATCAGTCGTAGATCGCCGTCGTAGACGCAGTAGTGTTAATCTGCGCGCGATTGGTCCTTCGGTGGCGATCGTACGGTGACCAGCACAGCAAACAGACCGCAGGCATTAGAAACGACACCGGGTCTGACTTGAAACGACACAGTGAAAGTGAATCCGATTATTTGTGCGTCCGCAGTACGTTTAAAATATTTCAAATGATTGTTAAAAGCGAGAAGTTTTCGGCGTATTTTTTTTATTTTATCCGCGGAGGTAGTTATGTGGCAATTATTATTATTGTTAGTACTTCAGTGGCGGCGCACGAGCAGAAACAATGAATGAGTGCCGACGACTACTCTATTATGATGTCGTGTTATTATAATACTTACTACTACGTCTATACTGCGCACCGGTCGAGTACGAGAAGAGCATGCGCGCGTGCGTCGAGAAGAAGCCGAACCGACCGAAGCACTGCCGGTGCTGCCGTCGCTACTGCCTGTCGTGGGTCTGTGGCGCGCCGCGCGTGTGTTGTGGCCGGTGTGTAGAGTGTGCAAGTGTGTGAGCTGCTGGCTGGCAGAGCGAAGCCGCGCGACCCACAGACGACCTTCGTGCTTGGCCGGCTTCGATCCAGATGGTGTTCGTGCGCACCGGCCGGGCTGCGTTGCCACGTGACGTCGCACCTTATCCTTAATGCTATTTGTATGTTTTGCAAGCACTAACAAAACCGTGACTCTTAGTCCTCAAAAAAATCTTAATTCTCTCATAACCAGGTGCAAGTTGAACGGCAGTCATTCCGACTTTTTCACAGTAATATTCGGTGTATGTATAAAACTAGACTACTAAACATTAGATGAATACGAGTTCCAAATCCTAATATGGACCTAGTAAATGCATACAAATTTGTTTGTTTTCATATCGTAGTTATATATATAATGTGTACATTTTGTAGATTGATGTAGTTTTACTGTGTAGAATTCACTTAACCGACATTTTGTTTTGAAGAGTCTTTGGCTGATCCAATTTAAATGTTACAATAGCATTACCATAAAACAATTTGGACAGTGTTCCGTATTAATATCTATTAGAAGTAATCCTAACGTCAGTTTTCCTTAATATAAAATTAATATAGTTTGCTATTAATTAATATTTATTCCAAACATTGCAGCTTTAAACACGTAAATACTTCAGATACCTAGTAATTTAATGGATAAAATTTTATTGTCTCACGCATACCATTAATTTGTTTATACATAAAAGAAACTAAAAAAAAATAATTAATTTTATTGATTTCTTATGGTATACTTGTACAACAAATTCTTACAAAAATTAATAAATCAAATTTCATTCTATCGTCTAAAAATTATTTAGTAATACAACAACACAATTTGATAAGCAACTTGGAAGGGTAACGGTTCACCTCATACATGCGATTTTTAACGAAAGCTGATCAAATTAAACTCCTATGGCGTGTAATTTTTTTAATAAAAACTACTGGTATACATAGTCAACAGTTAATATACTCCTAGTTTCTAGAATTAATTTATACGGCTTGGTTATTATTTTTTTCAGAAGAATTTTAAAATCCTAAAAACTAATAGAAATTCGATAAAAATGCTTAAAATCAATAAGGTAACTAGTTCTTTTCAATTATATTTCTAAATAATCAAATTCAATTAGCAGAAATACTATATCAACATGTTTTAGATAATTTTTTTAATTGTAGAAAAATTACATTCATAATATTTTTAGAAATTTATTTTTTACTTTGTTAAATTCGTATTTTTTATTCAATAAGTCTAATAAAAACAAAAACTTGACGGAAATAAAAATTATATTTTTCATGTACAGTCAAAAGCTATATACATACACTAATTTAAATTCCATTAGATCTAACTTGCAATTATTGTAAAATAACGTTTGATAAATAATTCTTGCACATTTAAGTCAATGAAAAAAAACATACACGGGTGTTCAAAATGTTGGTCAAATATTGAACAATTTCACTATCGATTATAAAATAATTGATTGATTATTGAAAATAAAATAACAATTTCTTAATCTAAATAATAATTTTGTAAAATGGTTGTATAGGAGATGAACTTACCCAGGGATGCCACAAAAAATTTAAAAAATATAATTAATAATAAAACATTATTATATACTGAAATTATTCTATTTTTATTTATATTAAACGTGTTCTACGAGGAAAGAAAAATGTACGATTTCACCAATATTGTGTCCAACTTTCACAAATTACACTTAAGCAAACAAAATATTTTTATACTACCCAAGTCTTTGAATTATGAAATATTTCACTAAGCTGTAAAATGAAAAAACCAAAGATAAATGGCCTTCTATTTATGCCTACATTATGACAATGAAAATAAAAATTATTTTAAGAAATTTGAAGGAACGACACTACAATAAAATTATAACCATAAAATACACATCAATATTCGGTTGGTAAAATGTGCGTTATAAAATAAAACAAAAATTTGTTCACAATTAATAAGCAATAAAAATTTTACAATTAAAATAGTGTGATTATATTATGTCAAATATTACAACGTAATTTATTTTAGAAGAAGTTTGACGACTTTTCTACTAGTTGACTCGAAGAAAGGCACCTTATTTCAATTTACATTGAACCTTATAGTATTATATTAAGATTATTATAATTTAATGCATTTAAATATAAGTTACAACAGCTGAATGATAATTAAATACAGACGTGACAGATGCACACAGTCAACAATTTACACTTCACATGCTACACGTGCACACCTGAAACTTATAAGCTTCAAGTATATAAATACTCATCAATTTTGTTTTTACACACGTTGAAATACTAACATTAAACTTCATAAATTTAGGCTGATTGATTTATCGTAGACTATTGAAATTCGCCTAAACAAATAATTTTGACTTTTTTTATTTTATTTAATGTTATTTATCTCTAGATTTATAAGAGGTTATATATCTATTAGGTATATCCCTTATTAGGGTGCCAACTTTATTTTTCATGTATATGTTAATAGATTAAATTGTATGATTGTCATTAAATTTGAACTTTAAATTCTATTTTATTTCTAGTCTCTTTTTCCCCAAAAATGTCGCTGTAACATTCAGTTGTGGGTGCATCATTTAAAATACAACATCGATTGGTCGAACTGCAAAAGAGTCTAAAAATTTGACTTAAAGAGTTATTACAATTAATTAGAACCATTTAACAAAACAAATAATCAATAGTCCCAATTGACAATTCTAAATTTGATGAATTTATAAAAAAAATTTCATAATCAATGCAATAGTTAACTCAATAAAAGCAATCAATATTAATTTGTCAAGACATACAGACAAATCGCTGTAAAAATTCCAACAGTTTATATTAATTATAATGAATTATAAATTATTATTTGTAGTATAAACTATGAGGAATATTATCGCGTAATCTTTAATTTTCATGATAATTTATAGACATTTTATTGTATTTTGAAAAAATTGTTAACCTAAAAAGTTAGAATTCCAATCTTGATCTAAGTAAAAGATTTAAATATTCTTTAAATATGTTTTTTTCCTAACTCAGTTTACAGTTGAATAGATATACAGAGTAATCCACGATGTTTTGACAAATCTGGTTATTATTAATCTGGTACATTTTTTTGCGTTATTTTTTTTTAGCTTCGATGCGAAGCTGAGAAGGTATTGGTTTTACTAAGATGTGTTTTTTTTTTTTTTTTTTTTTTTTTTTCTGTTACCACTTTTTCTCAGCTCTGACCGAACCGATTTCTTTCAATAATACGTCAAAAGATCACAAATCGTATCTAGTCGAAGACATTACCCTTAAAAATTGAAAAAAATTCCCTCGTTCCCCGTAAAAGGGGGAAACCTCCAAAAAAATTACAATTTTAAAAATCGCTAATTTTTTCAATTTTTTCAATTTTTTTTATTTAAAAGTGCCATAACTTTTTCAAAAATGAACATATCAATATAATTCTTTTTTTTGTAGATGCATGATGTCTTTACCTATCATTTGGTATATTTTTTTTATAAATCTGACTTTTTACCTGCCTACAGGGGGGGATTCAAAATGACAACTTTTTCACAAAAAATTGACTTTTTCAACTTAAATTTTGAAAGTGTTCCGGAAAGTCTGACACTTTTATATATATCTTAAATTAAAGCTAATGTAATATACTTTATCATGGAAAAAAAAAATTTCGGACTTTATTTTATCTTCAAGGTGAAAATGGCTACCAAATGCTATTATTGTGTGAAAATTCTCAATTTTATTTTTTACATTTTTAACATTATAATGCTATAACTTATTGAAAAGTGTATTGATCAATATAATTTTTTTATGGGAAATACTATTTTCTAATAATCTCTTTTTTATTCGACATACTTTGTCTTAATCAGGATATTAATAAGGAACTAGCAGTTTATGAAGCTTTTGGAATAATCCAATAATTTTTTAAAATTAAACACTATCTAAAGATTTGCATCGAAGCGTTTTTTTTTTATAGTGATTTTAATCACTGTCAGATATCATTATACTTGATCCAACTATGCCACGTCACCACTGTGCCGCGACCCCTCTGTGCTGGGTTTTTTATAATTAAATTATATTTTAAGACAATAAAAAAAAACCAAATATATTTCTGATAAGAAATATTTTTATTTTATTTTAATTTATTGAACAAATAATTTATCTTTTAAATTTGCGAAATATAGAATAAAGTAAAGCATATTTTCACATTACAAGTGAGAATTATGAAATATTCATAGAAGAAGTTACATACTTATAATCCTAATGGGCAGAACGAAAATAATGCGTTTTCTATCGTCATTTTCTTAATGCATACATACTTAATAATACATTCTTCAATATTTGATACCGTTTAATGAATCCATAAAAAATCAGATTATCATAAATATAAAATATTACTGAACATTAATAAGATATTTTCTTATTCCGAATTTTTTCTAAATAGCTATCTTAATTTTTTTCGCAAATAACAAAACACTTTTTACAATAAATTTAAAAAAAATATTATTTCTGGTGATATTTCCATAGTTCTAAAGTTAAAGTTTAATAATAATTAAAAAAAAGTTAACACAAAATATTTATTATATCAAAAATTATGAGATTTATCATAACATTATGGACCAACCTGTATAATTAACTAAAAAAACCCACGTTATTTCAACGATAAATTAAACTAATTAATTATTGAAGTTAAATAGAAAAAATATTAACTAGATAAGTTTAAAAGACAAAAAAAATGACTTTTTAAGTAAGGTAGGCGTGGGTAATAAGGCCAAACTTGTATTTAGTCAAATTAAAGCCTAATACAAACTAGACTTCATTATCCGCACCTAGCTTAATTAATATTCACCTATAAAAATATTTAATATTAATACTAAATATACTTAACGTAAAAGTAAATTATTGACTAAAAGGCGTTCTGTATAGGCAATTGATATAAATGTAAG